GAAGTCTCGATGGACTCGCGTATGTATAGCATCCCCTGCAACTTAGTAACGTCTCTAATCAGTCGATAGCCACAATACCTGGTCGCCCACCTCTACACGAGCGGTCGTCTAGTGCCCCAGAGGAGAGCAGTCGACTGGTTGGCCCTCTTGATCAGATCCTCAAGGCAGCCGTGCAGCCAGGCAACTTGACCAGAGTCATCAACGAAGCCTTTGAGATCCCTGCCCCAAAGCCACGATCAGTCTCACCCCGCAAGCTGGCTCCTCTCGTCATCCCGCCAACCGACGGCCCAGCCCCCAGACTACAGTCCAAGCACTCCAGCACCCAACTGCGCTCAGGGAGCACGCCTCCTTCGGAATACCCGCGCGCAGCCAGAGCCGAGACGGGCACGCCTACCCTCGGGCGCCTGACACCGGCCTCCACTCCAGACCTCTCCATCCCGCGCTCCGCGACAGCGACAGAAGCCACCGCGTCTACCCTTGCCACCCCCGTCTCGGCCCCACTCACCGGCTCTCCCCCGACCTACCAGGAAGGCGGCAACCCGCTCGGCCACAGACGGGCCGGGTCCGAGTCGTCCAGCGTCATGGACCGGGGGCGGCCCTCGAAGCGAAACGAAAAGACGAGCAAGACCAAGAGCTCCGAGAGACGGGCGTTTGAAGAGCTGCCGATCGGGTGGCGGCCGTGTGAGGCCATGGGCAAGCTCAACGCCAACGACTACATGGCGCTGCACAAGCAGGCCCTCGGGCAGGCAGAGCGATTCGAGGTTCTCAAGGTGGAGGACGTCGAGGCTCTTTCCAAGGTGCGCCATCCGAATGACAACATTATTGCCCACCGCAGTCAACTAACTTAGAGACAGGAGCTCCGCCAACTGGACGACAGGACCGAGTATCTGCGCCGCACGTACAGCTCGCTGCGCGCGGGCCGGCGCAACCTGCACTCGCGCATCTGCCAGTACCTGCGCTCCCCGCGCGTGGCCAAGTTCAGCTACGAGTCGATGCTCAAGCAGGAGGAGGCGCTCGCCGAGCTCGACGCCTCCATCGACGACTGGGTGACCAAGCTGGAGCAGGCCGAGAACCGGCGGACGCGGGTGCGCCAGAAGCTGCTGGAGCACGTCGCCGCCGCCGCCATCCTCGCGGTCCCCGACAGCTGCGGCCTCGTCGCCGCGGCCTCGTCGCCGCACGGCGCGTCCTGCGTCGCCGTCCGCGACATGTCGACGCCGCCGCGGAGCCCCACGAAGCTGCAGAGCCCGGCGCGCGCCTCGCCGTCGCCGCAGCGCGTCGT